TGGTGGAATAAAGTATGTCTACCTCATCTTCCTGGAAGCAGAACTCTCCCAAACTAATTTTATTATAGCATTGGAAGGGCCAAAGTGTGCTTCATTGCTTAAAACTCAAAGTATTTTAAAGTCAGTGTGGGAGAGAAATCTTATTCTAATGTTCAATTTTTTTGTTGTTTCAAATTTAGAAATTATTCCAAAATCAATTTAAGGTTAAGATTTTAATTTTTTTTTCTATGCGTTTTTGTGACTTACCTCCCTGTGTATTCAGTACAGTGGCATATGGGTTATGTGCCAAGATACAGATCCCTTCAGCCCTCTGGGTAGCCATAGGGCCTGAGACAGTCCAAACTTCAGCGTTTTGTCCAAATGTTATCACTCATATGTGTGCCATGAGGTGAAAAGAGTGAGGAGTCCTGGTTAAGAAAAACCAAGAGTGATCTTGTAGCCCAAGAGTAAGGAGCTCCCGTCTATGGTATGTTTTTAAGCTCTGCAGTCAAAGCAGTGGAGATAGGCACAGGAACAAGTGAGCATTTCTCATTTCTAGGCTAAGTAGATGGGTCTTTAATCTTTTCTTACCAAACAGTGAGCAATTCAGAGTTATTCACAAGAAATCAAGAATTTTGTGGTATCTCCTGTCTTCACCCAAATCACCTTCCACTGAGTTCTTCAAAGACTGATGTCTTCTTCCTGGGTAAAGATTATTTTTTATTTCTATACTTCTGACTCTACTTCTTTTATAAACTCAAACACTGATGTATAGCCATGGCTAGAAATATCAGAATTATTTTGAATTTCAAATATTTCTTTTGTTCCATAGGTGCCTGAGTGTATCTTACCAGCTCCCCAGTACTGCAGACTGTGCCATGAATGGATTATGCTTCTGATGAAATCCCGATGCTGTTTTGTTCAGTCTCCACCACAGGGTTCTCGTGTATTCTCAAGCACCCTCTCTAGGTTTCTGTTCCATAGCACTGCAGACTGATTAAGGGACACTTTCCAAACACAGGGCTCTCCCTTTGTTAGTCTCCTATACTCTTTTATTGCTTGCATTATCCTCTCATTTCAATCTATATTCAATCTAATTTCAAATTTCTTTAGCTTTCTAAAATTCTGTAGACTTTCTCCAGTCAGTCTTTTCTAGCCTTATTTTTATATTTTTAAAATCACCTTATTTTTGTTATCTCCACACAAACTAGTCATTTCCTTTTTTCTTCTTTAGTCTTTACTTTTCCTGAATATTTGCTAATAGCCTTGATCTTAAGCATTCAAACTCATTGCAGACTAGGTACTCTTCATTTATTTGGTATTTAATTCTGTTTCTTATGTCAAACGATGAAATGTAGGTAAAAGCCTTTTATAAACCAGAAAGCACTCTATACTTGTATAATTTATTGAGATTAACAAAGGACCACTGAGCCTCTTTTCATGCTTTCTGCTCCTTCTGAGCCAAAAGAATTTCTCCATAGAGGAGGGAAATGTTGAAGAAAAATAAAGCAGTGGAGTTGTCTCTTAGCAACTGAGTTCGTGACTTATAAATCTTTCCCACTTCAGATTGCTGCTGCTCAAAATCACTTGCTTTTCTTATTGGTTCAGTGCAAATAATGTTGTTAATTATAGGAAAACAAAGGAAAAAATCTAATGAATGAGTCACTCAGTTCATTGATTGTGCTCTATCTTTGCATAGCACTATTAATATGGTTGAGTTGTCTCTTTCTCTTGATTCTAATTATAAAACTTTTTTAATGTATTTTTTGTTGCAACTTAAATTATAAACTAAGTAGAAGCCAAATATCACCTTATGCATTTCTAGGTTACCTAAGTCCTGAAACAATATAGGTCATATAGGTAGTACATAACATAGACTGTATATAACTCAAGTTGTTCATAGCTTAAAGAAAATCAGATGTACACAAAGTCAAACCAAATTGGGGTGTGATTATTTGCATTTTAAAATAATTCATTATGAGGATTCTTCCGATGGTAGATCTTCATAGTATGTTTCGTTTAGCAAATATTTTTGAGTGCCTCCCATGCTGGACAATGGAAGGAATAAAGATACTCTGTGTGTGTGTGTATAAATAGTCTTGAGCTTTCAGTATAATAAGGTAGATAAGGCATGTACACAAGTAAGACAGTGCAATGATAAATGCCCTGTGAGTGGTAAGCTGAGTGCTGTAGAGGTTCAGAGGAGGGAAAGGTCACTTCCTGCTGGGTGAGCTATTATGATTACGTGGACAAGGTGACATGTTAGAGAACTGAAGACTAACAGAGAGTTTGTCAAGTTTAGTAATTAAAGCAAGATTGAAGAGGGAAGTAAGATGTTGGCGCCTTCAGTGCTAGAGCAAGGAGTTTAAACTTTAGTCGGGTAGCAATGGGGAGCCAATGACTTTTTTTGTTTTTTAAATCAAAGTCTTGTCTAGGAAAATTTGTCTGGCAGTAGTGTGTAATTTCAAAAAGTTTTTTAAATGGTTCTCTGATAGTCTTTTAGGCTCCTTACTTTTGTATAAAACAAAGATGTGTTTATAAATAAGTCAATTATAGAATTGATTCGTTTCTAGTATTTTTAAAATGTAGTCAAAAAACTATTTTCAGATGAAATTAGATCCTGTAAGATAAGTTGCTCAGTTAAGATAAAAGCAGTCTATGAAGTGGGGTAAAATACTACTTTTCGTACTTCCTAAAATAATTTTTAGAGATTTTTGTGTTGATTAGTCAACCGTCCTACTGTCCCATTTCTCCAGTTGAAACAATGTAGAAATCCTCCATTTTCTTTTTTTCCACCTACTTGGATAGAATGAATGTCTGTAATGAAAAGAGCTTCTTATCGATAGCCCTTTTAGATTTGTTCTCAATTTTGCCAAATATTTGTATACCTTTGCAAAAGACTTTGTTTCCCTGCCTTCTCCTTTAGTGGGAAAAACAAACAGTGTGAGTGACAGCGGACCTCACAGGGTTGTTGTGAGGCTCTGCTGGTACAAGGATGCGGTGCTGTGTAAATACTCTGAAAATGTTGATAATTGATTGAGAAATGGATTTTAGACACTTTGTTAGTAGAAACCACTATAGATTGGAAATGCAATACTTTAATAATAAAGATTATATAATAAGGTTGGCTATTGTTTTCCATGCATAATATGCCTCAGGGAATTTACAGCATAAAACAGTTCCCACCTGCTACTGTTAAGGAAGTAGCACTTCCTACATATTTATTTACCTCACAGTGAAATCGTGATTTTAAAACAGCACAACTAGAGAAGCAATGTGTTTTTGTGAGCCGTATTAGAAACCAGGAGGTTGGGAATACTAATCTTGGTTTAGTTACTAACTTGCTCTGTCACTGGACAAGTCAGTAATCCTTTTTGTACCTCGGTCTTTTGACAAGACCGCCTGAAGCGGCCCTGGCCCAAAGAAACTGCCATGTCCACACATGCAGCTGTAGGGGACTCAGGAACAAATAACCAGGAGCTATTATGTAAAATAGTTTAAGAATAAGATTGTAGGATGCTGAACAGCACACTGTTTGCCCTGTCTTCTTCCCCCAATGCATTGCCCAGCGAGCTCCCGCCTGAGTTCAGAGGTACGGGGAGAGGGGTGTGTCTTGGAAGAATTCTTGGTTTCCACTCTGGAGATGTGGTCACATCTCAAGTCAATTCCAGCCTGAAGAACCTAGAAAAGATCATATTTCGTTCTGATCCTGGTCTTTGGTGCTAGCTGGACCTCTTCTGAGAGGTTCCCAGTGTCTCTCTTGAGAAGGCTCAGGCCTCCTGAGCAGCCTTGACTGCCGCGGTGTCTCTGAGCTCTTGGAGGGATAGTCTGGCCCGAGGGCTACACTGACTCCCGCTTTCTGGTTCTGATTTGGAGGGTGTGTGTCTTCAGATAGAAAAAATTTTTTTAAAAACTCAGTGGAATTTTATTCCATCATGAATTCATGGTAAAGATTTAATAATAACAAATGACGTAAGTTGTTTTTGGAAAATGTATTGTGGGTTTCAGAGCAGGAATTTTCGTTCTCTGCTTCTGACCTAAACATGAAGAAAAGTTCAGAATAGTCCTTGAAAACATCAGTTCATGCTATTACGTAATTGGAAGCATTTCTTTTATCTGAAGTTGAGACTGATTCTGACTAGTTCCTCTTAAAACTTAGAAGTTAGGAGCACAATTTTAGAAATGAGAAATTATTTTGAATGTTTTTCTTTTTGCTTTATCTTTTAGGTGTCAGATAGAGCTTGCTGTGTTGAATTGAATCAAATCGAAGCATTCCCAGTAAAAAATAATAGCCCCTGGCTTGAGAACTAGACTTTAGTTCATTCGGAAACCAGAAGGATTCTGGCCCAGTTTTAATGTATGAAAACTCTCCAAACCACCTTGGCTAGAGCCTAGTATTGTAGAACCAGACTATAAAACATGAGAGCTGGGGACTCTCCACAGTGGTGGGAATCTACTGTTATTTCTCAGCAAATCAAATCCATGGTGAATACTAGTGTACAGACTGTTTGGTCTAGTTCAGCCTGCAACATCAGCGTGCAGAGTGGAAGACCAAGTTCAGGAAAGAGAGGGAAACCACAAAGACTGAGCAGAGACGAAGAATTGCTTGGGTAGCCACAGCAGCACATTTTAGACGTTCAAAGACCATTGCTTCTTTCTTTCTCCTCCTCTGCATATCTTCCCCACAAAAAGATTATGGGGGGATAAAAGGAGGAGGAAAGCCTTGACTCAAAAAAAAGTTTATACAAAGTGATCATCTGTACTGCCTGGGACTTCTCAATGTTTATTGGGTATGCACCCCAGCTTAAACACATTCAACCCAAACATTTCCCTTGATTCCTCATCTTTTAATGATGCTGTATAATCCAAAAGACTGTTTACTATGTGTGGCCATTTGCGGACTGTAATTCTGTAAGAACAGGATAGGAAGGCTTTGAGAATACTTGTACTCCATTCTGTTTTCACAGTGTTACTCAATTTCTTCCATTAAAAGCGTATCTAAAATCCTTATTCTCTTTTAGGTAACAGTATGACTAAATACACTGAGAAGCTAGAAGAGATCAAAAAAAGTGAGTAACACTACTGATGGTTTGGGATAATGGAACCCTGTAGTTGTTCTACAAGTTGATTATTAACAACCCTAACCATACTCTACACCTGACACGTGGAGAGCTGTGGGAGGCAGGTGAGCCTGGTGGGTGCCTAGCAGAATGTGAGAAACACTGTCATCCTGGTCAGCTGTTAAGATTGTGGGCTTTGGGTCTAAGTTTTGCCCAACTTAGATCCCATAGGAGATGTTAATGTTGGAATGTGGAATGAGCACTAGTTAAGCTTCTAGTTTTATTGTACTGCAGTCTTCATGAACTTTTTCTGGTCTTCTTATTTCTTTATACCTGAGATAGGGGTAATACTGTCTCTCTTATTTTGTAACATTCTTTTGAGTATAAATTAGTCAGTATTCATGAAAGACTTAGAGGTGTGAGGAAGAAAGATCTTATTCTTAATGTGGTGTTTGCATTATAAATTCATTGCAGTCTGATTTCTTTTAATTAAAAATCATATTTCATGCACATCCTTTTTAAAAACTAATCTTCTGCAAGATATGCTACTAGTCATCGAGTGCATTGCCCTTGCACAAAATCATAATTTTTCAATCTGTGTCCAAAACAGATGTAAAATGTACACATCAAGGCCAGAATTAAAGAAGAATAGAAACATCTATTTTCTAGGATGGATTTGCTCATAGCTTCAGCAAGAGAACCTAATGCGAGAGGAGTATTTACCTAATGATAGTAAAGAGGTACTCATTAATAACAGTTCAGGACTTGGCTCTGGTAATATACATTTTCTGGGAAGAGAATATTACAAATCCAGAATTCACCAGAACTTTTGCTTTTACACAGCAGGCCTTTTAATTTAAATGATAATGTTTATGTCCCTATTGAATTGCTGCAGTACTGAGAAACCCCAAACAATAGATGTGGACTCAGGAACAGCTTTATGCTGACTCTCACTCACTGTGTTCAGCTAAAACGGCTAATGCTATAGACATTTGTTTTTAATGTGTAATGTCACAGTGTCCTTTTCTTTTCTTCTTATATATTTTATATTATATTCATACACTTTATATTGTAAACTATATATATTTTAAGTATGTATTAAAATTTTAAACTATGAAAAAAATCTTGTTTACTCACCTACACTTCATTGTTGTTGTCCTTAATTCATCCATATAAGCAAGATTCGGCTGGCCTGCTTCTATTTTGGTTTGTAGTCTCTTTCACCTCCTATCCATTTGTAGCTGAGTGTAGCTTGCATGTCCACACCAAAATTTGTCCCATAAAAATGTCCCATTCCTCCCAGATTGCTGAAACCCTGTTTAAAACATTTCTTAAAAGCACGATGTGATTTCTTTAACATCTAACTTTAAATGGAGCTTATCTCCCAGAAGAAATGCCTCTGGAATAGAGTCCTTGAAAATGCTTGCTTCCCTCTTTAGAAGTTGTGGGCTTCCTTTTAGTAAGACAGAAGTTTCCTCTCACCTTATTTCACACATTTGTGCTGATTCCCTGACTAGAATTACTTCAAATTCTGGTTTGGGATTGACCCTTGGAAAATCTTTCCTTCTCTTTTCCCATTTTCTGTTGTAGGTGTTCTTTTGGGTAGAAAGGGAAGAGAATATTGCCTTATTTCATGACACCCTAGACCCCTCTTCTCAGATTACCTTAGATGCCAGGTCTTTCTGTGAAATCACAAACCTTGTTCTGTTACTTCCTTTGATTTGTCTTCCACTGTGAGCCCAACTTCCCTTTGCTAATAACGTGTTTTAACAGAACCCTGAAAACAGAACTCCTTTGTAATCTGAATATTCTTTCAACTCTGCCTGGGGAAAAGAGACACTCTGTGTCTATTGATGGTTTACAAAGCCTATTCTTGGCTTCTGGTGGTTAGATGACACTGGTTGGACCCAGTGTGAAACATCCTAGATAGTCAGGTCTCTGTCCTTCCAGTAACTCGAGAGAGACAGACTTAGACTCCAGACTTACTGGAGAAGCAAAACTCGATAACATATCTGAAACTAGGATTGTTTGTCTTCATCATGGAGTTTGGGAGAAGCTACAGTAGCAGAAGTTCCATTCTTAAAGCTCTGTTCGCTCTTGCAAGGACAGACTGACGGAGCTTTCCAAGTCATCCTTTCTATAAAATTTAAAACTTACTATAAAACGTCTAGTTTGATCTTTTATCTTTGAGTAATAATGTCAGAAAGTCCCAATGACGGCTGTCCTTCTAAACCAGAACCAGGTATGTAGAATTCAGGCTCAAATACGCAGTGGGTTTTCTAGTGCTTGTGAGAGGACACTAGAAATGCCAATCGTTAGAATATAGCAGAGACTGTTTTTTGTTTAAGGTGATTTCTACTTAGTTAAAGGGGGTTTTAATGTGTACATTTTGTACTTAGAATGTGAGGAATTGGAGAATTATTTCAAACTATGCACCTATACCAAAAGAATATCAATGGACAAATGCCACAGTGCACACTACTTGAAAGCTGTTGACTGTTTTCATTGGCTGATTTATTGCCATTTTGATTTACATAAATGGCTTTTGGTGGGCAAGTTGGTGGCAATTGAGAGGAATATTGTAGTTGTTCGGTTGCACTTTTTAAAGCTTCTGCTCAGCCTATTAAGTTCTGCATCCTGACGGGTTTTAGAAGCTCCTTTGCCTCTAGGTTTGTTACCTTGTATCCAAAAGAAGCTCTTCTAAGAATTTTCTAGAAGTAATGGTTAATTATTAGCCAAATTGCTCTTTTTAAGACGATTTAGAACAGAGAAGCTTTAATTCCCTGTAGGAAAGAGTCTTGATATATTTACAAAAGGCTAGTTTTTAGGGTAATATTTCCCGACTCTGAGTTGTAAGGTGTTTGGTAAACCAAGCTAACGTTGTACTCCAAAATAGCTATCCAGTCTGTGCTGGGTTTTTGGAAAATTCATGGAAATGATTGGTAACACCAGGTAAATAGTCTTAAGTACATTTAATCCTTTCCTTTGTTGCTATGAGTCTTGGTTCAGGAGCCATTTGTCCTGTGAAGGCCATGGTAATTATCCAGCTAACCTTTAGTAATTCTGCAATAATGAGGCCATATTTAAGGAGTGATAGGCGCCAATATAAAAACCTGGAAGGAGTGAAATGGAAGGGTGGGCAGGAGTTCAATGCTGAAAACTTCAGAATCAGCAGTCATCTTCAGGAAAGTTTAAGGAAGCTAACTTTCAACATGTCTTGATGGGACAGATACTAGATAAAGTGAGATTGGCTAAATTTTTAAAAGCTATTTAATGTGATATGAAGAATTATTAACACAAGTACAGAAGTACCCCCCTTTGAGTTATATCTCAGAACTGTAAAAATAACACTGAATAAATATTGATGTTTTAGGTTGATTTTTATTTTCTTTTAATTGTTATAAAAAACACAACAAAATTTACCACCTTAATCATTTTTTTTTTTTTTTAAAGATTTTATTTATTCATTTTTTTCCCCCCAAAGCCCCAGTAGACAGTTGTATGTCATAGGTTCACATCCTTCTAGTTGCTGTACGTGGGACTCGGCCTCGCGTTGGACGGAGAAGTGGTGCCTCGGGGCGTGCCCGGGATCCGAACCCGGGCCGCCAGCATCAGAGCGCGCGCACTTAACCGCTAAGCCACGGAGCTGGCCCACCTTAATCATTTTTAAGTGTGCAGTGCAGTAGTGCTAAGTTTATCCACATTGTTGTACAATAGATCTCAAGAACTTTTTCATCTTGCAAAACTGAATAGGTCGATTTTTATTAAAGTGGAGTTGAAGAGAAATTGATGCAAGAGTTTATCAAGACCAGTCGTAACTTTGTTCCTAGCATTGTACCCCAGGAAAACAAAAAGTGTTCTCCTGTGTCTCTAGCATAGTTTGTAACCTCAGGAATATAATTGTCTTCTTTTCAGGGCAGAGTTAGAATTGTAGAGTGTAAATGTCTTACCAGCTGTTTGACCTGGGGCAACTCAGCTTCTCTGGGTCTGTCCTCATTTGTAAAATACAGACGTTTATTCTCTGCTTTGTTCTGAAAAGGATTTAAAGAGGCTTACAAAAATGCATGCAATCAATATAATATGGTCAAAGCAGAGACAGCATAGTAAGAGGACATTGGTAGACTAATAATATACAGGCAAGGGGATAAAGTCAGTAGACACGAAAAGGTGGCTTATAAATTCAACATGAGGCTTTCTACCAGCCAAAGCAAAGGGGAAAAATGAAGAGATGATATAATAGCTGCCACACTTAATTTTGAGAATATCATGAGGATCAAATGAAATAACATATGTAAAGGCATATTTAAGTCGGAAAACATACCATATAACTTGATACCTCTAAGAAAGCAAAATAAACCTAGAAAAATATTTGTCCTATCCTGCTTTTCAGATTATAGATACAAAAAAGATGAGCTTTTCAAGAGACTAAAAGTTACAACTTTTGCCCAGCTGGTAAGTTTAATGATCTTCCTTTAGAGTAAAGACTGTCTAATTTGTGCTGCTTTATGCGACTATTTCTAAGTTCAGCTCTAGGTAATGTTTGCGGAGGGGTTTCTTCTGATTCTTTATATTTCACCTGTGGGAGGATTAATTGGTGCGTGGTGTGTGTGTTCATTCAAGGATGGTATGAAAGTTTTCTCTTTTCTTTGATAAGAATTTTATAAAGTAAAATATGCACTCTACTTTTAAATCATCAAGTTTGTGGTTTAGGTTTTATTTTTCCTTGTCCATTTAATTTAATATTTAGAATCTAGAATTCTGGACTCTGGATTGTTTGGACATTTTCTCTGTGTAAACCAGGGGGTCTCCCTTCTATGACTGAGCTCTGTTGCCAAGTCTTTCTGCCATGGGCTATTTTGTTACTTGGTGAAAGTCACTTTCTTCTTTTATTTGAAAATTATGAACAAAGTGTCTCTCTGCCACCCAAACAAGAGTTCCATTGATGTAACTCAAGGTGGATCTTGGGTTTATGAGCTAAGTTGTGAAAAGTGCTTTAAAAACTGTGTGTAGGTATACAACATTATCATCAATATATTCATAATTACATTTATTTCTTCATTGCATGAAGAATTGCTGATACAGTTCTATTATTGTAAGTATTGCATTTTTAAGAAATAATATGTTATGTTGGGACTAGAATATACATGGAGCGGTTTTAAACTCTTATTCATGTTTCTTGTCCTAAATTATCCTTTCGGTCTTTTAAGTTTATTGTGTAATGCTTTAAATGAATCTTTTCTTTTGGAATGATCATCCGCAATGTAATTACCACTCCCAAAGTAAGGAGACCTGAGATTTAGTCTCCAGTTGAGGACACTGACAGTTTCTTAAAACAAGAGATCTTTGATGTTTGATGTTTCCTTGTCTTTTGTAAAAGACAGAATTGCCTCTGTTTAAAGACAAACAAACATACACACGTCTACACATTTCATTCTTTTTTCTATCAGGTCATCCAAGTTGCTTCCCTATCTGATCAAACACTAGAAGTGACAGCTGAGGAGATTCAAAGGCTAGAAGGTAATGAGAATTGAGGATGTGGGGACAATAACGGATGGACCATTTGACTGAAGTGCTCACCCTGCGCTCTTGTGTTCCCAGGGACTTGACTGTTTGATGTATCTATTTGTAATTAGATTGTTACTCTCTGAGAAATGCTATCTGGTTCTTTAACTGTTAACTCATATTTCTTTAAAAAAGCCATCTGGTTTTCTGGCTCTAACATTTGTAGTTTTAAATGTTTCAGATGTGTTTAATTTAGTAATTACTTTTTTTCAACAAATATTTTTAGTCCTATATATGTATAAGTCACAGAATTAGATGCTATGAGACTACAGAGATGAATAAAACACAGCTCTGCTTACATGGAGTTACATGTATGTCTGTTGGGTGAGGAGAATGATAATAGAAACAGAAAATTATTAATATGGCTAATATGGCAGAAATTCGTAATGGAAGACTGGAAGGAAACCATCATTTGTTGAATATATGTTGCTAGGTACTTCACATGAGGTTTCTTATTTAATCTTCTCAAAAACTCTAGAAGGAAGGTATACTTTACAAATGTCTCTGGTAGCAACCAGTATCTTTGCTGTGGGAATTCCGAAGAAGGAAAGGTATTTTCCAGTTAGAAGACCAAGCTAGGATTTCTTAAAGCTTTTGAACTAGGCCTTAAAAGTGGGGGTTGAATCTCAACAGGTGCAAATTAAGGGTGAGGCTATTACAAGCTGAGGAGCAGCCTGAGCAAAGGCATAGAGAAGAAGAAACTCCCCGCGTGTTTGGGGAATCACATAATCCAGTCTCACTCGGGTCTAAGGGAGGAGTAGGTGCTGGGTAGGAGATAAGGCTAGAAAGATAGGTAGGCTCCAGATTTCCTTTCTTAAATACCAAGTCAAAAATAAAACCTCTTAGTTGCACTCTCATAAAAAGAATACAGAGTTTAGGGCTTTATTTTATCCAGAAGTACTAACAATCAATGTGTGGCTGTTTATTGAAGGGGAATGTGTTTTGTTAACATTGATGTAGGCCAGGAATTTGACTTCTGATTGCAAGACAAGTTTCACAGGAAGTCTGAACACTGGGTTTGTGCGACTCAACTGTCATTTCCCTGGGCTTGTTTTTGTTAGGGAGGATAAAGAGAATCGGAAAAAGACAGGAATTTATCTTTGACAGATGCCTCTCAGATGGCAGAGAAATAAGGGCTCTTTGTAACAGAGATAATTGAGTCTCCTCATACAAGCGCTCCCAATTTTAACCTGGTTATATAAGTACCTGGATTTGGTCCTTTAATTCATTGTTGAAATTGCAGCACCAGAACATATGGGCACATGCAATTTTCTCTTCTGAGATAAATTTGCACAGCAAAATAGGCTCTTGTAAAGTAGGACACCATAATGTGTGAGTAATATTAGTGTTTTTCTAGTGCTCTACACAGAATAATAACTCCCACAGGAAAGCCTGTAGAACAGATTGTATCTGTATGCATATTGGCTATCTTTGAAGGCATTAAAAAAAAATCTCGTTTTGTAATGTTTATTGTTTTTTCCTGACTTAAAAGTATATTTCTAGAAAATAGAAAACTGCAAAAAATATATAAAGAAGAAAATTAAAATAACTAATAATTCCTGTTAACATTTTGGTCTATTTTCCCCCTAACTCCCCAGCCAAATCCATACTTTTTGTATATAATGTTGTATTATGTTGTTTTCAGTTAACGTTTTATCATGCATTATGCATGTCATTAAATAGACTTCAAAAGCTTAATTGTAAAGGTTGTGTTGTCATATAATGTCTATCCTTTGGATATACCATAATTTATTTAGTTATTCTCCTATTGTTGGGCATTACAGTTTTTCTAATTTTTCACTTGTATGAAATAATGCTGCAGTGTAAATACGTAAATGTTTGCATGGTTCTGATTATTTCCTGAAGGTAAATTGCTGCAGAGGGTCGAAGGGTGGAATCATTTTAAGACACTCAATGCTGATTCCACATTATCTCCAGAATGGTTTTTTCTGTTTGCATTCCCACCAAGTAAATGAGAAGACCTGTTTCTCCCCATCCTAGCCAATGCTGAATAATTATCATTTTTGTAAATATTTGCCAATTTGTTAGATGAAAAGCAGTATCTAATAGCTTTATTTTGAATTTCTCTGATAGTGAGGTTGAGCTTTGTATTTATTGGTCATACATATTTCTTCTTTTGAGGACATTACTTGTCCTTTCCCATTTTTTTCCTAATAGAATTTTCATTTTTTACTTATTGATTTGTAAAAGCTCTGTATAATTATGATATCTTTATACATTGGAAACCAAACAGCCTTGAAAACGAATGAGAAAAATCTCTATTTGATGATTTGGAACAATTTCCAAACTGTATTATTAAGTAAAAATAAAACAACAACAAAACAAACAGAAAACCAAGGGGTAGGGCAGTATGAATGGCATTCTCCTGGATATGTAGAAAAGGGAGGAAATAAAATGTATGCACAAGTATGTAGAAAAGGGAGGAAATAAAATGTATGCACAAGTATGTAGTTCTTTTATTTCTGGAGGGAGACCTACATGTGTGAAGGTGGTTCCCTTGGGGGAGGAGGCCTGAGGGCCTGCAGTCTGGAGAGGGAAGAAGACTTCCTTCCATATTAACAGTTTGATCTTGTTTGCATTTTTACCTTCTGCGCATGATCTTTTTTCAATTAAATAACTAGTTAAGTAAAAAGCTCTTTGTAAATAAGTATATTAACCTTTTCTCATTTGTATATGTCACAGACATTTTTCCTAATTTGTTATTCACCTTTTAATTTTCTTTATGCTTAGTTTTTGACATATATGAGGTTTGCATTTTTACATGAAATCTATTTGCCTTTCATGTTATAGGTTTTTTTTTTATTATTTTAGACACATAAAATCAAAAATAAGATAAATTATTTGCCTATATTTTCTTCTTTTAGCTTGCTTGGTTGGTTTTTTCCTACATCAATCTATCTGTTATATATTTTGGTATGTAATGTGAGGGGGTTATCTAAATTTGGTTTTTCTAGATAGTTGACAAATTATCTCAGCACCATTTATTCAATAGTTCTCCCTTTACCCACTGATTTGTGATGATACCTTTAACATATATTAGCTTTTTATATATATTCTAGAATTTGTTTCTGTGTTCGTTATTATATTCCATTGTTCTGGTTGTAGTTCTGCATTGTTTGATCATTTACCTTTTCAATATATATTAATATTTGATAAAGCAGGTTCTCCAGATTACCTCTTTATGTATATATATGTATTTTTTTCTTCTCATTTTTAAAATCCTTTCAAGCTTTTTTTAAAAAATCCCATTGGGATTAGTATTAAGGCTAAAAATTAAATTTGGAAAGGATTAACATCATTTTGCTTTTGGTCACCCAGTCAGGACTATGCAAGGTATGTCACTCCATTCTTTAATGTCTCTAAGTAAAATTTTTATAAGGCCTGTAAAAGACTTATAAGTTTTTATAGGTCCTTTACATTTCTTAGTAAGTTTATTTTCTAGGAGAGTATATTTTATATCTGCAATTGTTACTATAAATGAGATGTTTTTCATGTTATTTTCTAATTGGTATATAGGAAAAAAAATTTGTTTGTTAGTATTTATTTTTTTGTCTAACCACATATTTATTTTCCTTATTCTCATAGGATTCTCTTGAAGTTTCTAGGTATATTATATCATACTCAAATTAAATTTTAATATCCTCTTTAATAACTAGGCCTCTTCTTTCTGTTGTTTCTCTCATTATACTGGTTAGAACAGCAGATTCTCAAAGTTTTTGGTATCAATCTTCCTCCACACTCTTAAAAATTATTGAGGACCTCAAAGAGTTTTGGTTTATGTGAATTATATCTATTTAAAGTATTAAAATATTAAACTGAGTACTTAAAAAGTATTTATTTACTATTTCACTTGAAAATAATAATACTAAACCCATTACAAACATAAATAACATTTTTATGCAAAATAGCTATATTTCCAAAACAAAAAAAATGAGAATTTTTTTCATTTACTGAGAATGGCATTGTTTGACATTTTTTTGTAAATCTGGTTAATGTCTGATTTAGCAGATGGCTGATTCTCATATCTCCTGCATTCTATCTGTTGCAATATGCTCTTTGAGTTAAAGTATATGAAATCTGGCCTCACACAGACCTATAGTGGAAAAGAGAGGAATATTTTAATACCCCTTTCAGATAACTGTGGATATTTTTCTTTGATACTACACCAAAACTTAACAACTGGTAGCTTCTTAAAGGTTAGTTGTAACATGGAATCTGAAACCATATCAATGAACTTTTCATAGTGTGTTACATTAAACCCATTGGTCTGTCTTGCACTTTGAATGACTCTCTTACCCATGCATGATTTTATAATATCATTCATTGGTCATTTGGAAAATATTGGTTCACTGAGTTATGAAGATCTTCCAAATGTTGACAAATTTTATTACACGGTATCAAAAAAATCACATTTATTAATCTCACCACCTATCTTTTCAGAAGTCATTAAGTATAGGGAAGTAGTCAAGCTTCTGGTGGCAAATACAGTTTTCAAAATTCTGATTTTTGTTCAAAATTTAATCATTGCAAGAAATACCATCAGTTGTTTTCCTTGAAATGACAAGTTCACTTAGATCATTTTTTGAGAAAATGTCTGCCAAATACACAAGTCTAAGTATAGTTTTTCTTCCAAGTAAAAATGGTATTCAGGGCAAAAGCAGCAATAATCATGCTAATACTGTTCCTTGAGACAACAATGGTACTTTGGTACGTGGCAAACTTGCTGTATGTGGACTCCTCATTTCATGACACAGAATGTTAAAAAGGTGTGTACTTAGGGTGAGATTTAATAAAATTATTATTACTACTTCATCAAGGACTCTTTAAAATGTGACAGTCATATTTATTAACTGTGAGTGCATGTGTGTTGGTGAAAAATACAATGATTAGTAATAAAACTTGGTGCCTCTGCCCTGACCCTTGCTAAGGTGCTAGCAATGTTATCCACCATTTCTTTTGTTCCATCAGTGCAAATATCGACACAGTAAAAAAGATAACATCTCGGTTATGAAAATAGTTTTCACCTTGCAGATCCCCTGAAAGGGTCTTGGGGACTCCAGGGGTCCACAGACTACATTTTGAGAACGTATGCAATAGAACTTAGAGAACAGTTTAATAACAGTGATATGGTTTACTTTTCTTGACCTAATTTCAATGGAACTGCCTAACAAGTAAATACAAATTCTAAGATTAAATTTACTACTTATTTATTTATTTATTCATTTGCAAATTTTAGACAACGATTCTGCGACTTCAGACCCTGATGCTGAACTCACTGCCAGGACCAACGGGAAAGGGAGCCCCGGGGAGCAGTCACCCAGCCCTGTCCAGTTCATAAATAGCGTGGGAGCGGGCGACTCCAGTCGCTCGACTCTTCAGAGGTACTCTAATCGAATTCATGTTTCATTGCACTTTACCTTCCTGTTAATCTAGATACCAATTCCCGTGATTTAATTACCTTAGAAACAGGTCGGCAGTAATGAAGTCCCACATTTTCATCCCAGCCCTTCTATTTTCTCTTTATATAAATGCCACCTCCTGAATCTTCTCACAGCATTCTTAGTCAGTTAATGTAAGAGTATATTGATAGGAGAGCATTCATTTTCACCACTCAATTCCATTCCTCTCAGCCTTCCTATACTCGTTTGCTATTAGGACTTAGCTTTACAACTACTATCTTTTGGCTCAGAGAATATGATTCCTCCCTCCTTTTCTGTCGGCTGCAGCTTGTAATTACCCTGTCTAGAATCAGAAGAAAAACAGTGCCACACATAGTGCTCTGATATTAAATAGATACGAAGGAGAATGAAAGCAACCCTTGGTGTCACTTCTCAAACTGCAGGTGGCTGCTCCTTCTTATTCCATAGACTGTGATGCAACATTTTCTCTCAAATATTAACTGTTGATTATAAGACAGTTCTGATTTTTGGCACATATCCATCCCTTCTACTGGCAAAACAGTTCTCCTGGAGAAACTAGTTCTACTAGAGACAGAATTGCTATCATCAGTACCACTATTATTATTTTTATAACTACTTTTGTGTAAGGAGTCTAAAATTGCATTCAAAACAAGGTAGACCAACAAGACTTTCATTGAGGCTGCAGTTTCATATGAAATAGATTTTCTTCTCCTTTGGCTCCACATAATATGCACGATAAGCATATTGTTATAATGTTTATCGGATTTAAATGCAGAATTTGACTTGCTGTGGTGGGAAAGGAACTGTTGCTACATACTAATCTGTGATTTGGCACATATAGCTTCATATTTGCCTAGGAAAGTCATTATCTTCTTATTCCAGTACAGATATTTCACTACTTGCCACGTTGTTCATAACACCTACTCTTCTTATTCCTTCAATTCATGTTTTCACCACATTTTGCCTATAATATTAATATGGTGACCAATTTTAATTTTGTGACCTTAGAAACAGAACTGTCAGTGGTGAACTCCCTCATTTTAATGCTGGTTTTTCCTCTGTCTCATATGAATGCCACCAAATCTAAAAGCCTCTTCAATCTCAACACTGTAACCTATAAAATGGAAGTAAGTACAGATAACTATTGAAAACCTTAAGGTTCAAAATCTGTATTGGATAGGTCACTGTATAAGTATATGAACTATATTAAAACATTGTTGTTACTTTATATTACATATAATGTACATAGAAACACCTTTCGTTTTTCCTGTCCAGTCAACCTTATTCCTTCCTCTTTTGCTCTGCTTTCTCGCACTCCTCAAAATTCCATTGGATTGACTGTTGACCTCTCTTTCTCTGGATGCTGCCCTTGTTGCTGGAGGCAGCACATGCTCTACAGTTCCTACCCCTCAGCCATGCTCATGACCTAACATGCACTCTCTGAAGGTGAGTATGGACACGTGGATCCCCTCCTTGGGGACCAGTGTGATAGAATAGGATCCATAGGATTTTGCATTCAGAGGCAGAACTGAGACACTATATACATTTTCCTTTTTCTTTCAGGTGTCTTTTGAAAAGCCATTGAGCACTCTCTCACTGTTCTGAAGAAACACGTTTGACCTTTAAGCCACCAACCCCTGACTAGTTTCTGCTGACCTACTTTTTCACTTGCAGCGTCATCAGTGGTGTTGGGGAACTGGATCTAGACAAAGGGCTAGTGAAGAAAGCAGAGCCCAACACCAAAGACAAACCTTATCCCGACTGCCCCTTCCTGCTGCTAGATGTGCGAGATAGAGATTCTTACCAGCAGTGCCACATTGTTGGAGGTAAGAGAGAGAGAAGGCTTTATAGTGTCCCACTCCCAAGAACAGAGCCCGCTCATGAGTCCAGGCAGGCTTGAACCACATCCCATGGTTAGCAGTTAAGAAAACCATTAGCTGGATCCATTACGGGAACCTATGAGTTGGCTCTATCATAATACTCTGAGAGAGGCTGGTGACTTCTCTGATGGCTCAGGGGCCCAGTGCTAATGTCAGAAACAGTGAAGTGAAGCTTCTTATTTTGTTCAGTGTCCTGTTTCTATTTTCACAAAAGTATGTAGGTTTGTGGCTCATTGATTTTGAAAATATATTTCTTTTAACTCTTAGTTAGACTTTAAACCAGCTGGAAATTGGGGCCAAGTTGTACTAAGAGAGCTACAAACTTCCTAAACTTTTTCTTCTCTTTGCAGCTTACAGTTACCCAATTGCAACTCTGTCTAGAACAATGAACCCTTATTCAAATGATATTCTTGAATATGTATCCTTTGTTGTATTTTAAGGAGTTGAGGTTATGAGGATTATAAGAATCAAACTTATCATGAATCACGTTCCTAGTAAGAAAACTCTGTGAAGGACCTTTGATATTAATTAGCTTACTTAGCATATTTTAAGATTTGGATTCTTAGCTGTTGCTGAGTAGCCTGTTAAGGCAGATGCTTCCAAGCCATATTGCAGTGGGCCAGAAAAATTTACATTAAAGGTTATGATCTGTTGAGAGTTAGTCCTAAGAATTTCTTTTCCCCTAGAAAGCTTTCCCAAGTTAAAACTTAAAGAACTTAATTTTTTTCCTTCTTTTTTTTTTTTTTTTTTTTTTAAAAATTTTATTTATTTATTTTCACCCCAAAGCCCCAGTAGATAGTTGTATGTCATAGTTGCACATCCTTCTAGTTGCTGTATGTGGGACACGGCCTCAGCGTGGCCGGAGAAGCGGTGTGTCGGTGTGCGCCCGGGATCCGAACCCGGGCCGCCAGCATCAGAGAGCACGCACTTAACCGCTAAGCCACAGGGCCGGCCCTTTCCTTCTATTTTAACTTTTTTCTTCTTAAGATTTTAATTTTTTTGCTCATAATAGTCATACAAGAAAATAATTTAAATACTGAAAAACATAAAAAAGAAAATTGAGGGGCCAGCCCAGTGGCGTAGTGACTGGTTAAGTTCACACTCTGCACTTCAGCGGCCTGAGGTTCGTGGGTTTGGATCCTGGGCGTGGACCTACGTACTGCTTATCAAGCCGTGCTGTGGGGGGGGTCCCACATACAAAATAGAGGAAGATGGGCACAGATGTTAGCTCAGGCTAATCTTCCTTAGCAAAAAGAGGAAAACTGGCAACAGATGTTAGCTCAGGGGCAATCTTCCTCACCAAAAAAAAAAGAAAGAAAGAAAATTGAAATCTCCAATAATCACCCAGTGGAACAACTCTAATTACATTTTTTGCATATTTTATTCCAGACTGTCTTCTATGTATTTTTTTAACAAAGTAGAAATCATACTGGATATATAATTTAGTATCTTGCTTTTCTTCACTTCATATGACAATGTATTTCCCCACTCCACTTTTGATGTCATATAGCTCATCTTCAGATTTACTATAATTTACTAAACCATTGTATTACATATTATATTATATTACTTACATATTATTTATTATAAATAAGGCTGTAGTGGACATATTGGACATAAAAATTTTTCTATTTCCTCATCTGTGAAATTGAGATTTTAACAGTTAGTTTCCAGGGTTGTTAAGTATAACAGAGCTAAAGCGTCTAGAGTGTGTAACTAGTGCTGTCTTGGACCATGGTAGTATTAGTCTATAAAAGAAAAGAATACCAGCTTGTGTGGTTTCCATGACAGAAAGAAATCCAGTACCTGCTGGTGTGCTGGGTAAAGAGTAGGGTCGTCCAATGTTCCCTGAACTCAGACAGGTGAACGTTGACAGCTCTTAGTTCCTGGAGGATTTCTTTACAGTCTAGGAGCATTAGCTCAGTGTAGTCAAACCTTAACTCATCTGACTCTTAGAAAAATGCCCACGGCAAGATCATCATTCTGTATGACGACGATGAGAGGCTGGCCAGCCAGGCGGCCACCACCATGTGTGAGCGGGGATTTGAAAACCTCTTCATGCTTTCTGGAGGTGAGCCGGACTGTATTCTGCTTAGGACTTAAATGACAGACATTTGGACTCACAGTCCTTCAGCCCCTCCCCCATCACCTCTTTCCTCTTCGTGCTCAGAATTGAGTATTCAGGAAAGACAGAAAACCATGCTGGCTGAAAGGAGACGAGAGTTACGTGAAAATTCCATTAGCTCCGTCAGCACATGTTTTTAATTCCTGAAATAATGCTGTTGCTTTAGGGCTCTGTAACAGAGCCTTAATGCTCAAGACTTAAGCAAAAGGATTTTTGGTGGAATTCTCAGAATCCCATGTAACAACTGACATTTTCTGGTGTAATTTACTTAATGGTGAAGCAGTTAAGATTTCACGTCCTTGTGTTGGCCTCGACTCAGAGACCAAAGATTAGGAGAGGTGCAGGCTCCTTTCCAGGTTTTGCCTTGGCCTCACCATGTTAATGCTGCTTTTTATGATCACACCCAGGTCTAAAAGTCTTAGCTCAGAAATTCCCAGAAGGACTGATTACGGGTTCCCTGCCAGCATCTTGCCAGCAGGCCCTTCCTCCTAGTTCTGCCCGGAAACGATCCAGCCCCAAAGTGCCGCCTCCACCAGCTGAGAATAAATGGAGATTTACCCCGGAAGACCTAAGAAAGATAGAATACTACTTGGAAGAGGATCAGGGTCCTGCAGACAATCCTAGTAAGATATTTTGACCTTTAGAGATAATGTTTTGTGTCGAGCTTGAGATTTGCAACTTGGAACATCACCTTATCAGATGAAAAGCTTGATCTCTTATAATATATTCAAATTCTTAAAATATTTGTGGGGGAGGGGGAGTGTGCAGGTGCTGTGCAGGGGGTGGGGGGTGCAAGTGGAAGTGATCCCAGATTGTGGCAAGAATTAGGCATTACACACAGCCGTAGAAAGAGAAGAGAATTTATCAGTCAAATGAAGTGTGTATCTCAGACAGAGTTGGGAGGCTTAGCTAAGGCGTTCAGATTCCTGCCTGGAAAGTTTTTGTTTCCTTCTGCTTCTTCTGGGGACACTTCCAACCTTACCTTTGCATACTCCTCTCTCTTCTCTTTCTCTGATCGCTCCTGCACCCTTCTACCAGAAAGGAAGGACAGGCTAGGTTGGTTGGGGATAATGGAGAGGAAGAAAGAAAAGCTATCTAGGTTTCCTTTCATTCCTGCCCCCTTCCGCACCTTCAAGTTGATCTTAAGGATGAAGAGTAGGTTTTAGCCTAAAGTAGATGCTGAATAGGACTTCATTCGCTTAAAAGTGGTTGTAAGCATAAGACTTCATTAGCTTAAAAGTGTACTTGGCAGATTGTCCCTGGAGTCATTCTTACAGTTCTGCTCCCTGCTTTCTTATTCCCTTCAGGCCGGCTGAGCCAAGCTAATGCTTCCGGAAGAGACTCCAAGGTTCCAGGCGCCCGCAGTATCCGCAGCGGTCAGAACCTGCCCGCAGGGGGCCCTGCCAGCCACCCGAACCCCCGCTCACTCGGCAGTGGCCACCTGCAAGGCAAACCCTGGAAGTAAAGACTTTGTCTGTCTTAGTCAAATAAATGTTTTCTCTCCTTCTAGAACCCTTGAGCAGTGCCCAAGTTGGTCATTTTCAGAGGAAAGACAAGGAAAGACGATGATGTGTGTGATAGGCCCTCTTCCCTCTTCCTGTCTCCAGCTCCTTTCCCACATCCAACTGGGGAAGGATTTTTACAAAAACCAGAGGCATGACAGGCTCTAGTGTCCTCCCTATTGTTTACAGAATATTTAATCTCTGAAACTGAGTAGCCAAAAAGAGTCTCATTTTTTTAGGCTCTTGTTTTATTTTAATAAGGTCCAGCTTGTTTTGGTATATATCCTGTGTTTTGTAAATACCTCAGTCACATCTGGTGCGTTCTTCCCAACCAGTTCTTTTTTGCTCACTGTTCTTGGTTTCATGAAGGTTCTCCAGATAGGCTTTGCAGCCTGAGAAGCTGTCCCTGGGGGTAGGGATGATTCTTGGCTTTCAGCCGCCCCCAGGCCCTCCACCTGATGTGAGCCCACTGGCTGAGGAGCACCCACTCCAGCTGCTCTGTTGTGAGTGTGGAGGCCGCTACCTGTGAGCATTGCTCAAGTTTAAGATTTAGCAGAGCAGCTCTCACGCTCCCTGAATGTTCCTCACTGTGTTTTCCTGGAGCCAGCACAGGTGGTAATGTGTGCTCAGCTGCCTTCTCACAGGGCATGGGGCCCCTTGCAGGAAGGCCCCGTCCATTATACGGGGCTGTGTTGAGAGCCATCGAAGCCTCCCAGAGCTGTCCCTCATTTGTGGTTGGTTTATCAGTTGTAAATTTCCATTACCCACCTCGGGTCCATCTGTGTTAGAGGGGTGGAAATTATGGCCACTTGAAAACATCAGTTTCCGTGGGGCCACCACAGGCACACAAGGTGAGGACGACTCCACGGTCCTTTGTCAGAGCTGACAGCCCCTTAAGCCCTTGCTTAAAAATACAGTATTAGTCTAATTGAGTAATTAGTGCAATTTCCTGCTTACTTTTCATTCTCATGACTGAGCTGTGATTAGGAGGTTGTGATTATAGATTCTGGTTTGGGCCAGAATTTTGAATCAGCATTAATTGAATTGCTAGATGACTGACATTCATTCCATTTAATTGGGGGAACAAAGACCTCAGGTAAGGATGAGGAGCTCTGAAATCATCAGGAAAAGGAAAAGAGCCTTGTTAATTTTTATAGTCTGTGATCTGTAGCTGTGATAAGGGACTAAGGAATAAATTGTGCTCTTTGTCATGGCAACCAGCTTCTGAAAAGCCAACTGAAAATTGCCTGTCCTTAGGTGGTTACTGCTGCCGGGTAAGATTTGCCTTAATGGGACTATTTTTCTCACCACCAAAAAAAAAAAAGTACCACAGTATTTCTAGCATGGGGGGCTGTGTTTGTAAGAGAAATAAAGGTAATAAATATCTCATAGAGACATATGGAAAAAGAACTTTCAGATTCAGCCCAGTCCTGTTTTAGTGTGTTTATCCTTCTCTACTTGATTTCCAAAGTGCAACATTTTCCAATGCTTTAGAAATCAAACAAACCAGGGACATTGTTCAGATGTCAAGCCATGCCCAATTTTCCACAAGATTCAAGAATCTTGTATAAAATTCAGCCAATGTACACATAGCTTTAATGAGGAGCCTGTCATGTTTCCCTATAAATTTATTGCCTGAGAACTTAGTTCAGCCTTCTGCTAATGCCAAAATGCTCTGGCTTTTTATTTTCTTTACAGCATAGATTTTAAAAAATGCAAATTTTTCCACACTCACCTTTCCCCTAGCATGGACACACTTTTCAGCCATTTTTGACACATATACATTTTTAAGAAAAAAATATTTTTCTCTATAACAAAGTTCTGGTTATGCCATTTCAAAGTTGACTAGTAAAGAGTGTAGATTTGCCCACTCAGTTCTATTTTGAAAGTAAATGGTAGTCCCCCTTTGTTCCTATTCTGCATTCCCATCACCAAACAACTCTAGAGTGTTAGAAACTACTGTGTGTATATGGAAAGTCAATTTAGCCAAACCTATTAGAATTGCTGTGCATTTAGCTGAAAGATGTGACAGGCTAAATATATATATGTGTGTTTCTCCATAGTGCTTTGCCCTATTGGTAAGAATTTTAAATAACTGCTCCTCAAAGACCTATTCTGATTCTGCACTTTGTGTGTTAAATGTCACTTGCAGACAGTTTTTACATGCTCGAGTATTGCTTCGAATGTTCTACTTTACTAGTTTTTTTATTAGATTAACTGACATGTATTATTTAAGTGATCAGTGATACTTTGTGCAATTATGAATGTTGAAGATTAAAGTACATAGTTATTAATGTGTTGTTTGCTATTAATATGCTGAGATTTGCCAACTTCTCTCTTCCTCTCTATGGAGATGATTTGGGGGAGCCACATGGGACTGGGGTAATTTGAAAGAATATGTCTTTCTGCTGCGTCTCCCAGGAAGGCATGTATTCTTTGTATAAATGAATCAGGAAATCATTCCATTTAGGGCAAGGAAGCTTGGTTCTCTAGTCAGAAGGCCCAGGTTTCTTTTCATGCTCAGGCAGGGACCGATGGCCACCTTCCACACATTACAGCAGGACTTTCTTGTCAGTGTCTCAGAGGCTGATGAGCTATCCTTGCCTGGGAACTCATGACCCCCTAGATGGAAGGTGCTTGGTCTATGTCCAAAGACATAGAGACATAGAGGGGTACAACTACAGCTCCGTCTGAGGAACAGTGATGGCCAAAGTCTAAATAACACATTCAGTGCTTTAAAGGGGTATGTATTTAAGAACGAAAGGAGGGAAGGAAGGAGAGAAGCAAGGAAGCAAGAAGTGGGGAGGGAGGGAAGGGAAAGCTACACTACTTATTTGAAAACAAAAGAACATCTTGGGCTGTAATAACATCGGGTTTAATCTACTGAAAGGCAGTAGAATGATTCAAATGGCCTAAAAGTAATTTTATTTTTTACCTTTAGTAGAAAATCAGAACAAGCACAATCACATTGGACTTGGTGTAAATCAGAATTAGAAGAGAACAAATAATGTTCATTAGTTGCTGAGGGATTTTTCCTGTGGTGCTATTTAGATTAGACAGAAATTCTTAAGACTTTAGGCTACTCACCAAGAACACAGAACAAAATAAAACCTTCTTTTCTCTAATTCCCTTGTGGAATATAAGTGAAATCAGAGTCCTAGGCTAGGAAGAAATATGTAGGTAATTTTTCTTGTGTTGGTTTTGGTTTCTGTCATGTTATATATTGGTTATAGATTCTCTCTTTTATGTTATCTGACTTTTTTAGTGGGGATAATTAATGTCTGTCCACCTAGATTTAAATCTATGACTCCCTTTCTCTGCTCTGAGGATAATCATTAAGAACCTTTCTTCCCCAAGTTCCAAAATGTTCTCAGTGTCTTTAATGTATGTTTATTTTCTTCACAATTCTTTCAAAGATGTAACTCTCATAATACTTTTCTTTTTTTTCAAGAAACATCAGAAACGTGGATTATAATTCATCAGTTTAATTATGTGGGCATGATGACATGATTATATGCAGTTCAATTAATTTTTTGAATAACAGATATTTTTCCTATAAAAGTAATAAGACATGCTGTGCTTCCAGAGTGTTCAGAATACATTTGGGTAATAATCTTTTCCTAGAATTGTAGTAATTATTGAAATTGTTTTTACGGTGTCCTTAAATTGGTACACAGGTCAGTTATAGCATAAAATATGTAATGGTGGAAATTTGTCAGCTTTGAATTCTGACAGAACAGGATTCAGTGCATGATTTTATGAGTGTTTACAAAACTATATGTGTCACCCCGCAGTCCCCTTATGGTCTCACTCTCTGATGCTGATCCTTTTTGTTCTGAGCGCAAAAGCAAATTCTCTCCACCTGTGTAACATCCTGAGGCACTTGGTAAAATGTGGGGCAAACAGAGGTCACTTATTAAATGCTATTGACTGATGGACTCTTTTTTAAATGAGTTGAAATTATTTTGACTATAAGTTCCAAGACTATATGACAGTGGCTGTTAATAAGGGTGTGTGGATAAATGACTTGAACCTGTGAAGACTGAAGTCTGGGATGTAATGCACATTGTGGTGGCCGCTCAACACTGCTCTGCCATTCTGGGGACCCGGAAACCTTGTTATCTTTTATCCCCTGGTACATCCTGCTTTTGTAGGAGAGGCATTCACAGCACTGAGATTTTTAGATTACCCTCTGCAGGAGGCACCCCGAGAGCTGTTAGGAGCCTTGTTACCCTGGCTGTCTGCAGTCGGCCGGGCCTGTTTTCACGGTCCCCTAGCCTCAAAGGAGCCTTCAGAATTCATCAAATACAGGTTGCACACCATCCCCATCTGAGAGTGAGTTATTTTTCTCTTTTGTTTCAAATCTTGAAAATGTCAAGATAATAATACTAGCAAATATTATGGAGAGCTTACTATACGTTTGGCAGTGTTTCCAGATTCTTTAAGTCTTGACTCATTTAATTATCACAACAGTCCTCCTATGAGTTAGGCACCCCCATTTTCAGGTGAGGAGACTGAGGGAAATTAGGCAACTTGCTTTGATTCACCAAGAAGGTTGAGAAGCCAGGATCCAGCCCAAAAGTTGTGGCTCCAGAGCAAGTTTGTTCAGCCACTCTACTCTGCGCTGCCCCCTCTGGGTAGGTGCAGCCATGCTCTCCCTTGGTGATGCCTCGAATTTACCAACAAAAATGTAACTTTCTCTTGGCTATTGGCTTCCCTTCTTATTACCTGAGACTCCACCGAAAGTTTTCCACCTCTGCCTGGACAGAAGGCGATGGAAATTTAGGGACTGAAACTTCTGCTCCTCACCATATGTATTTCCATATTTCCAGTGTCTGTGTCTAGTGACCTATCTTGAAGACAGGTGCTCCAGGGTTTCTGAGTTTGTTTTGTTTCTTAATGAACACCTAATGAGGTATCACTTGAGGAATGAGAGTTACAAACTTTTAATTAGATTGTAGGAAAAAAGTCAGCTGTTTTCCTGATAGGTTGATCTAGTCATTCAATAAACTATATT